TTGGAATCCTAAGGCTGGAAAATGCCTGTGAGATACTTAGGGGTCCTGTGCTTTCTCCAATGAGCAAGCAATGCAAGAAACTAACAGGAAAATGTGGAACCTGTGGGGTACCTCGGTGGCTCAGTCCATCTGAGCGCCTGCCTTTGGCTTAGGTCATGAACCCAGGGTCCTGGGATAGAACCCTTTTAGAGCTTCCTGATGAGGAGGGAGTCTGCCTCTTTCTTTCCCTCTGCCCCTCTTCCCTTGCACTTCCCACCCTCCCTCTGTAGTGCTCTCTCTCTGTCTCTGTCTCAAATAAATAAATCGTTTTTTTTTTTAAAAAAAAAAAGTGGAACCTGAGCATTGTAGTGGGCTTTGGAGGCACTCATTCCGTTTTCTACCCAAAGTGAGAATTCTTAAATCTAATGGGGTGGAGGTTCTTTACTGCCTCTGGGAAACCTCCTACCCCTGTAGACATGTTTCCCCATCTGTAAAATGGGAACTCTTGGCCGAAAACTGGTATGATAATTAGGAGTATTATGTGAATTAGTGCTTTTGAAGATATTAGAGCAGTAGTTTGGCATGTGTTGGCTGTTACTACCTCTGCAAAGTTTCCCATTCCCTTCTAGGATTTTTCTCATTGGATGACAAATCTGGTTATTGAGCCAAAAAACAGTTCCTGGAACTATGCAGAAGTCTTATCCAACATCTACATTAACAGTCCTTCTAATACTTGAAGACAGCTTTCATGAATTTAATAACTGCTTTCTGTGTTTTTTTTCTTTTTTAATTTCAAGAATAGAACACAGTAGACTATAAAAATGAGCGTTATCAGTTTTCCTTTGGATTTTCTATGTAAATGTTGTTTAACATTCAAATGGAGCTGATTATAATTTGAGATATTAACAGTTAGATATGCCATTGTGTCCCTTTGTTATTGTTTGTAAAGGAGGTTAAACACTATATTAACTTCTGAGTAGTGATTTATTGTTGCTTTTGTTAGAGAAAAATAAAAAAAGAAGTAAAATAATATAATTTGATATTGCCTTTGAGAATTTTCAGTTTGCAGAGGTCTTTATTTCCTACTCAATTTTATTTTTTAAAAAGCATTACATGTAGTGTAAATACAGCATCCCATAAATGCCGAGTTGTTCTTTGCTTCTTGGCTTAAGCTGTTGTGTAATATTGCTCTGTAACCATTAAGCAGCTGCTCTGCCTCAGAGATGCTCATATTTCCTTTGGTAGACGAAGGGAATTTACTATATGAATGTCTCCAAATTGCTTTAAAATCGTTGGCCTTTGTATCAGCTATTTAGATTCACAGTGGTCTACGTAACACATGAAAACCATGTTTCTGGAAGGCCCCAGCAGCCTGGAGGTTACAGATGGGGTTGTGTTAATAGTAATAACCTGCATTTTGCTGAGTCTCATCTTCTGCACTATTGCAGGGCTCCTGACACTGCATGATTCTCCCTGGTTACTTTGTCAGAGTCCTTATGCACGGTTTCTTACGGACGTTCTTGTATGCTGCTAGCTGTCCAAGTGCTCTGTCATCCCCTATTTCTTTTCTTTGCCCTCCTCATCTTGGATATTGCCTGTTCATTGTAAGGCTGCACTGTGTGCAGAGATGAATGGAGGAGGCAGCCGGCTGCCTCAGGTGCTTCTGCCAGCTACCCAGTCGCCTGATTCCGCCCCAGGCCCTACTCCTATAAGGGCATGTGGGTAGGCTTTACTGCTCATTCTAGGGAGCCCTCCTTTCAGTGAAGTCTCACTATGCTCCATGAAGGACTGGAACCCAGTTGGACCTACGGGGGCTGCATTTTGTCTAGGGGTGCCAAAGCAGTTCTAACATAGTTCCAGTCCCTTTCATAGTTTCAGCAAAATAACTCTCTCAGGTTTCCTTGTAGATTCAGATTCCTCAAACTTGAATTGGAGAAACACCCTGCTACATACTGAATTGCCTTCCCTTTGCCTTTGTGTGACTGCCTGTCTTCCTGCTAGTAGAATGAGCCTGGGGCGGCGGCGGGGGGGGGGGGGCTCCTCCCTCCCATGTGATTTGGGCCCTGAGATCCACACACAATTCTGTCTTCTTGCGTATGGAGCCCCAACTACTCACTGGCGTGATAAGGAAATGAACTTCAGATGGTATCTACATATTGAAATGTTATTATGTATGACCCATGATTCAATTTATCTAAATATATTGAAATGTTCACTAGTCACTCATTTATCAATTTATTTTACAAATATTTTTGAACTCTGACTCTTTAAACACTTCTAGTTTCTTGGTAGTTACTTACTGCTAACTGCCTAAAGTTTTACACTAGTCGGAAACAAAGTCAGATATAATCTGACTGTAATCATCATTCTTTCCCATTCTACCCAAAAGCCTAAATAAACCCCTCAGTGGATGAGTTCTAGGGAATAACAAGAGTCAGTATAGTTATCCTTAAACCTTAAGCCATCTATACCTACATTGTTATGTAATTACTAAAATGCTTATTTATGACCCTGTTCCAAAAGGTTAAAATATTTAAAATTTTGTTCAGTAAGCATTTATTTAGTAGCCACTGTATATACAGGCGCTGAGTTAGTTAAGGGAGATTCAGAGATTAACAAAACACAGTCACTCTCCCAAATAAAGGAGCTGATAATCCAATAAGAAACACAAAACTTGAAAACAGATACCTTGGACACTTGAAATGTGTAAAGTGATGTAAACTAAGTACAAAGTAGCTGCTCTAAATTCAGAAGAAAGATTATTCTGGCTGGCACAGGGATTGGGAGAGGAGGGTGGAGGAACAGGTTAATGAGTGGATGATGGCCGAGTTGGACATTACAGGATGAGAACAGGGCACACAGAGAGCCATCTGATGAGAGGGAGGGAACTGCATGAGAAAGATGGGAGGGCGAGCATTAACAGGGTACATTTGGTGAGGACAAATAGTCTTGTCTGATTGGTTAAGTATGTGAGCTGCCATCAAGATAAATAAGGTCTTTGTATTTCATGTATTTGCCAAATATAAAATTTTACATTTACTGTATCTGGAATGAAGTATAATTTGTTATACTTAACAAAGATGTGTATTGCTTTTGTTGTTGATTTATATGATGATAACCTACCATGGTTCAGAAAATTGAAAGTATCTCTTCCCCCCCAACCACACAAAGGGAGTCTTTGTCTTTTTTTGTCTTCTTGGCTTTAAGCAGCTTGTATAGTGTAGGCTACCTAAAAGTTTCTCAGTAATCACTGAGATGAATTCAATGTGGTGAAAAATTAAGTTGCTTGAGAAGTAGGAGTTTCTTAAAACAAATACAGGTATATCACATTTTGTCATTATCCTCTTTAAAATGTATATTTTTTGAAGTAATATGTAACATAATATCTAAATTTTATCACCAGCTGAGATCTCATAATTCCTTCATACTCTTTTGTTCTGCTTCTAAAGAAGGTGAACAGTGGGTACAATACAGTGTTCAGACACGCAACGCTCATAGGTTCACAACAGTGAAGCATATAAGCTTATTGAATGATGTTCTATCTTTTCATGCTACGTCAAAAAGTGTTGTAGTAGCTTTTGTTCTGGTAAAATTTCTAAATAAAGATTTACGAGTAATTTGAGAGTGTCTGGAATCCAGTGTGTGCCTTTCAGTGTGTGGGTGATTTTGACCCAACTGGCCAGTCCTAACTTATTGGGGACATTTAATCAGTGCCCACTGTGGATTTCATATTTTTATCTCACTTATCACTCATAATAATTTTATTATCTCTGGTTTTTAAATGAGGAATCTGAGACCCCCAAGAGTCTAATAACATGACCAGGATTCACACTGATCAAGTGATTGGGAGTCAAATGCCAGCTCCTTGATTTAAGAGCTCTCAGAGCTAAGCCACCTGTGACTCATATTCTTGCCCCAAATCAAATCCCTTGGTCAGCCCTAAAATTTAATGTAAAATCTGCTCCAGTTGCCAGTTCTCTGATTCTAGAGCTTGTTTTCCTGGAAACATGAATTCTGGGGGTTCTCAGGCTTTTCTTACTCTCTTCCTGGGAAGCAGAGAGTAACCATACCCCTCCTGATATTGTGTCCCTCTGTATACCTCCTTTGTATCAATGAGAAGCTGGGGACGTGACTGGTGTTTGTGGGAGTCCTCATCTCTGATCCTGTACACAGCTTGACCAGATGCCAAACAGCACTGAACTTACTCAGGCTCCAAAACCCATGGCAGGCCACAGTCACTGGGGACCCTGTACTTGGATGTCACACAAGGGTCATGTGGAATTCCTGGAGGCCTGGATTTATCACCAGTTACTAGAAAAAGTATGCAGTTCTTGAAATGAAGGGAGTCCAAGAAGTAGTAGTAGCAAGAATAAGCAGGCAGTGAAATCAGGCGAAGTATATCAAAGGTGTATGGAAATAGGTCGATGCAAAGTATTTGCTGTAGGTACAAGTTCTGCTTTTGTGTGATTCATGACCCTGGAACAAGGGGGGGGGGAGTGCTGGTAACAGCAGCTCGCTTTTCTTTAATCAGGGAAGGATTTGTGAGAGAACAGTGGTTTCAAGAGATCTTTGAAGTAATTCCAACAAGGTTCTAATTGTGGTTGTGGTTTTCCTTTTTCTTCCTTTCTTTTTTTTTTTTTTTTTTTTTTTTTTAAATGAGTAGACTTTAGTCTACCAGGTGCTTCTGAGCTGAGTGCATTCAGTAAGAACCCCTGAATCTTAATTCTCTGTGCATGGGCTGTGGCAAATAAAACCATACCAGTTTCCCTGTACATTTAGAAAGCGGAGAAGAAATTTTCCTAGGAAATGATTTGGCACTTAAACTTCTTACTTTTGTTTAAACAGACCCCGGATTGCATTCGAAGAGTTTTGCTTTTACTCGTGTTTGTTATAAGCAGACTTGGTTTTTGTTCTAACCTTTGGTTTAAAAACACTTGAACAAATCCTAGTGTTTAATCATTTATTTGCTTCCTGCTTGTGCTGATCTGGATATTTATTTTCCTCTGGATATTTATTTTCAGGTTACCTGGAGGATAGTTTTGTAAAATCTGGAGTCTTCAATGTATCTGAACTCGTGAGGGTATCCAGAAGTAAGTAAATAGTTTTGTTATTATTTAATCATACAGTATGATTTAACATATTTTATATTTTGAACCCTCAATACAGTATTAAGAATAACGACTTACTAGGAAAATTTGAGTTTTAAAATCTCCATCTTTTTGATGAAATCATAAGTGAGTATATTTTGTTGGATTTCCTTAAATGCTTGCATTTAGATCATCAAACTTTTGTAGTACAAAAATAATTTGGGGGTTGTTCTGATTGCTGTGTTATTGGTATTCATTTAATTCGCTGTTCTCTCTGTGACCATAGATGGTCATTTATATCAAAGGAAGTGTGATTAATTAAATGTACTCCATGTTGTTATGATAACCCACATAAGTTTCCTGTAGATAAGTGCTTTTTCATTTTACTAACGTTTTGGTGGGGGCTTGGAGATGTACAGGATATACACACTAACATGCAGAGTGTAGAGGGATGCAGAAATTAACTTTGCAGATTGTAGTTTGGATATAGATAGCAAGCTATTGTGAACCAAAACAATGTCCAATTGTTTTTAACTGGCCACCTCACCTGAGACACCATTCTTGACAGGCTGGATGAGATTTTTCTCAGGTTAAGTTCACCTGGCCAGCTACCTATAAGCAAGGGAGTAGTTTACTAACTCAAGTCTTTTATGTATTACTAGTGTATACAAATATACCTGAGATGTAGCTCTCGAGGCATTGATGATGTTAAAGGAGGTGACTCATTTCTTCTTGTTCTCTTTGATTTAGCTTATTTCTGTAACCTTGAAGGCTGTATTTTTACCCGATATTTTGTTAGAGAGCATCACCATTTGGAATGACGTTACTCAGATGATGTAGTGGTATTCTGTTCTCGTTTATGTTGTGTTTTTCATCTGGGTCAAGTTCAGAGATCTTGAACAAGAATTATGATGATCCCAAAAGAATAAAGCAAGTTACTGGGGATAAGTTTAGATAGTGTGTTAGAGTTGTGGTCAGTGAAATAATCCCCCATCCTAGCTGGTGACTGTGTCTTTCGAACTATAGTTTTCTTAAATAGTTCCTCTTTCTAGGGTGGCCAGTGCAAATAGCATGTATCTCACGGAGTTGTATACATGAACATTTAAGACCTTTAGTAACTTAACCCTTTGACATATTCTGCAGTAGATAAATGTATGCCCCAAAGTCTTCTGTCATGGATCTGTTTACTTAGGGCAGCACAGGTAACCAAAACCTAATATAATATCCTATATCCCAGCATCTCCAGGGTTCATGTTTGTGGAACAGAAGGATTCTGATGGTCTACTCCACTGACCAAGGCAGTGTCTTACTTGTTTTTCCCGATCAATAATGTGATATGGAAGGCCTCTGACATTTGAAAGTTTTCTGTGTTTATTTTTAATTTGGAAAGGAACGTGCCTGATCCCTCATTACCACTTTCTGGCATCATGTAAGGAAGGGAGAATTTGAAAGTGGGGGTGGTTGTGTGTGTGTGTCAGGGGTGTTTTCCCTATACTGTTCTCCTATAGTTATGAGACATTATTAACATTATTTGTTTAAAGTTGTCTTTTCCTAAGTTTCATGATATATTTCCTTCTTCTTATGAGAAGGACTGAAGTCATCTATTAGAAAGTATTATCCATTCCTCATTATAGGTAACATCATGTTAGACACTATAGAAGGGTAGCTACATAGAACATTTAAAAGCCCAGAGTGGGGCAGCCCTGGTGGCTCAGCAGTATAGCGCCTGCCTTCAGCCCAGGGTGTGATCCTGGAGACCCCGGATCGAGTCCCACGTCAGGCTCCCTGCATGGAGCCTGCTTCTCCCTCTGCCTGTGTCTCTGCCTCTCTCTCTCTCTTTCTATCTCTATCTCTCTGTCTCTCATGGATAAATAAATAAAATCTTTAAAAATAAATAAATAAAAGCCCAGAGTGATATTTTGAAAAATCTGAATGTAAACATAAAGACTTAAATGCCTTTTTAGAACAGTTCAAAAGTGAGGCAAATTTAATATACTGATTTTTTTAAAGCTTACACTGTCATCTCTTAGAGGTTTTTAAGTTACCTGTTACAACACACATTACTGATCTATAATTAGGATATTGATTATCTATATTCATTCATTAATTTATTCAGCAAACATTTATTTACTACTCTGTATGTAAATAGGTGTCGCTGAAATGCTTGAGAAGTTATTCTCCTAAGTGTTTTAATATATCCACATCGTAATCTTATTTATACAGATGAACTTGGTTGTTTATGAAATATGGGTTTGCTAAGTAAGCAGAAACTTCAGCACAATCCCGATGCTGTATATCACAAATTCTGACTTCTTGAGGGTTTACAGTATGTTAATGGTTTCTGGCCTCCAGGGTTTGACTAGTATAACCCACTAATGTGTCTGTTGACTTTAGCTAATGAAGCTCCTCAGTTTTAGGATAGTTATCTTTCTGTTGAATGATATTATCTCCATCTTAAAAGTTGATTTAGGATCTGCTTTTGGGGTGACAAGAACAATGAGAGAGATTAAGAGTTGGCCTCTAACCCTTAGAATCTGAAGTTCTTTGGAGCTTCATTTCTAAGAGGATATTGGCAGCCTCTTAAACATGATTTGCAACCTTCAGAATTCAGCTCTCTGGGAGAGGTGATAACACTGATCTTTGGATTTGATGTAAGTTCTTCCGGAGACTTTTAAGCAGGAGCATCAGCCTGGGACTTGCCAGGCTCACAAACTCTCTTTGTTATTAAATACATTTGGTGAGTGCTGCTTTCAAATTTGACCATGTTTCTTATTAATCTACTCTTCTTCATGTATTCTCCTATTTAATGTCAGAATGCACACTAGATTTTTGCAATGCTCCTGTATAAACCTGTGACTAAATTATTTTTATTACTGTCTTGCTAGTCGGTAACAATCCTTCTGCAACAAAATTTAGAAAAACAAAATTTCCAAAGATTTTTTAAATTATTATTTTACTATAAATTTCATCTAGTATGTTTATGGCAAAGCAATCTGTGTTGACTACTAAGCCGTATGTATGAAATACAAACTGCAGATCTTTGCTTAAATGTTGCATGGCTTAGTAAATTGCAAATACTTTATGTAAGCTATAACTTGTAAGTTTCCTGTTAGTAATTCAGTTCTTTGAATTGTATCCATTACTGTTGTAGGAGACTGGATGGATTACCGACTTTCAGGGAGTCCCTCAAATGCCTCCCTGCTTTCCACATACCCTGCTTTCCAATGTCACATAGAACATGGTTCTAATAATAAACTTTAAAGTATGTAGTTACTGTGGGATTTCTTACCTTACTTTTTTTTTAACCTCCCGTGTACCTTAAGCCATAATAACCAGTTACAGTTTAGCTGCCCAAAGAATTCAAGCCATTTGGGATAGTGACATCGAATACAAGTATTTTCTGTGTCACATGAAGTTAAAGTGCATTATATAAAAAAGAATAGTTTAGCAGCAGGCATAAACTCCAGAAGTTTGGAGCTGAGACTAACCTTGTATATATTGATTTAATTTTTAATAAGAGAAGAAGGATATTCATCGTATGTTCTTTGATTACTTATCTGCAGTGACACATGTGTTTCTTAATCATACTTTCTTAAAAATATTTTTAAGTAGGGATCCCTGGGTGGCGCAGCGGTTTGGCGCCTGCCTTTGGCCCAGGGCGCGATCCTGGAGACCCGGGATCGAATCCCACGTCGGGCTCCCGGTGCATGGAGCCTGCTTCTCCCTCTGCCTGTGTCTCTGCCTCTCTCTCTCTCTGTGTGACTATCATAAATAAATAAAAATTAAAAAAATATTTTAAGTAAATCTTGGCCAACCTGATATTGAAATACAATTCAGCTGACGGCAAACACATGTAGTGAACACATTAAAATTCTGGGTAAGAAAAACTCCCTGAAAATCTGCAGTCTTTTCAGAATCATGTATTCAATTTGAAGCAGTTGGGAGAGAGGAAGAATAAGTAACTATATGTTCTTAGAGTGAATCACAAGGGCTGTAGAGTTTTGTTGCCACAACCCCAGGACACACTTTCTCTTATTAGAGCTTTTGAAGGCCTGACCAAAAAAAAAGGGGGGGGGGTGGTGAGGGGGAAGAATTCTTCAGCACCGTCTTTGACACCAACCTGCCTGGTGTCACCTTGCATACTATCTCTGCCTATGACTGCTCTTGTACTAACCTCTGTTGAGAATGACCTCCCCTTAAGACCCTTCTCATTCTCTAGTGCACAGTATGGCTTCTCCACAGAGTTCTTGGATCATTCAAGCCTGCATTGGATTCTTCTTCCATGAAATTCCATAGTATTTATTGGTGATGTCATTCATTTGGGCAGTTTCATTTTAATCTGCATTATGCTGGTACTTCTATTTTTTCACTAGTGGTTTATTTACCCAGCTTTTTGCCCAATCTGTTTTGTTAAGGACAGGAACTATCTTGTATCCCTTGTAGCACCTGCCAGTAATGGACAGGAACAACAACTTGTTGAATGAACAGACTTTCAACAAATAGGTTCATTTATAACTGTTCATGTGATATGAGCTTGTTTTGAACTGTTCACTCTATGCTAACCACTCTAGGCTGCCAGGGAAGAGATACGGGGAAGAACTCAAGGAAAGAAGGAAATTCACCATTTGTTGAATACCTGTTATGTGCTTCGGCATGATGCTGGGCTTTGATCACTCCTTACCTTATTTCATGCTTAAAATAATCATAGGTGGTAGGTGACTAGTATTCTCATTTTATAGCTTGGGAAGCTAAGGCACATAACTCAGAAGTGGCAGAGGGGGTTCAAACTAAATGGCTACTTCCCAAGACTCTACCATTCTAATACAGCATGCTGTCTCACAGATCTATTCAAGATGTCTAGAAATGAATTTTTAAAATTCGAACAAATGTAACCCATTATACAAAACCAGTACTTATATACAGAAATCTCAGTTCAAAATACATCAGCAAACCCAAAAAGGTTTCTTGATTTACAAAATAATGCTTTAAAGTATATCTATTTTTATTTATTTTTAATAATTTATTTTTAATTTTTGTGAGTACATATAAATGATTTTTACAAAGTTGGGCATATAGACTTAAAAAAAAAACAGACCTAACTATTGAATAAAGCCACACTTAACTATTCATATATAAACACGAGTATGTATTTTTAGGAAAAAACCTTGGCTCTTATTTCACATTTGCCAATTTTACTTGTGCACCTGCCCTACCATAAGAATTCATTAGATCAAATAATTATTCATATGATTTCTAGTGCAGTCTAACATTAATGTTAATATTGTAATCTGATTATTTAACAGTGATATGGTTTTTGAGAACCATCTAAATACAAAGCATCTTGGTGCTAAGCAATAGGAAACATGTTTCCTCTGACACATCTGTAGACTAGTGTGGTGACAGATGTAGTGACAAATAATACAAAGGAGGGAGTGAAGAAGGTTGGAGAGTAGGAATAGGGGAAGTGGCCACCATGATTATAGTCTGAGTGCCTCAAGTTTCTAGACTTGAACACTGGTGTTGTGAGGAAGCTCTTCAAGTCGTACCCTGGTGGACTGTTGCTATTAGAGTCTCAGAGTAAAGAGAGTTTGTTGGGAGGCGTGGAAAGTATTAGCTTATTACATTCAAATAGAGATAAGTGTAAAAATCATTCCTGATATTTCTTTCTGTTTTATTCCCCAGCACCCATAACCCAGGGAACTGGAGTCAACTTCCCAATTGGAGAAATCCCGAGCCAACCATACTATCATGACATGAACTCGGGGGTCAATCTTCAGAGGTCACTGTCTTCTCCACCAAGCAGGTAACTGAAAGAGGAGCTGTACTTGTTCTCAGTCTATAGGCAGATAAGTAGATAGGTAGACAGACAGATAGGTAGGTAGTTAAAGAGATCGGGGAAACAAAGCCAAGAATGAAGACTTTTTACTGATTCTACATAAATTTTTAATCTTACCTGGTTACATTTGTTTTGATATTTGAAAATTAAGTGTAATTTTTCAAAGCAGTAAAAAAAAATCTTTTGGGTGGGACAAGGGAACTATATTCCCTTCATGTAAAATATATGACTTATTTTATTTGCTCCTATAAAATATTATAATTCTGCAAAGTTACTAAATCTTTTGGTGACTTTAAAAATGATGTTATCACGGGATCCCTGGGTGGCGCAGCGGTTTAGCGCCTGCCTTTGGCCCAGGGTGCGATCCTGGAGACCCGGGATCGAATCCCACGTTGGGCTCCCGGTGCATGGAGCCTGCTTCTCCCTCTGCCTATGTCTCTGCCTCTCTCTCTCTCTCTCTCTCTCTCTCTCTCTCTCTCTCTGTGACTATCATAAATAAATAAAAAAAAATTAAAAAAAATGATGTTATCATGGCAGAGAGCCCTGATCTATGACTGATCCATCCTGGTAACTTTTCTCTAATATCATATCCAATCTGGGTATAATGAAACCATGAAAAATAAAATGTGTCATCTGCTTAACCTTAGAAGTAAAAGCCTTATTCTAGGCCACACTTGGCTAATGTCTTCAGGGAATTGGTATTTTTAAAAATAATTTAGTTGATTATCAGTTACCAATGAAAATATTACCTGCTCTGAGATTTGGTTTGACCAGCCTTTGTCGGGAAGAGCTACAGTGAGGTTACTTTACTTTTTAGCTCTCTGTTGACATTCTCACTTTTCTCTCTTGACCTTCTGATTGCAACTTTGAGGCCCACAGAAGTTTAAAAAGAGGTTTCCTATTTAAATGAGGGATAAATAGATTGGAAAGTTGTTATGCATAGGATTTAGTGATGATGCGTTCCACTGCTCTAGAATGCTAGAAAAGGACTGAGTTACTGAGAAGCAAGATGACTAAATATTATAGCTTTATTGTTTTTTTTTTGAGTTGGATTTTCTATATAAATGAACATCCATCTATCTCATTTTCAGAACATTACATATACCCATGATCAAATGTAAGAGTGTACATGAATTCCAGAGCAAAACATTTTGCTGTATAATATCCATTTTTTAAGACTAAAAGAATATCTGGGTAATCATTTTCCTATGCTGTTATCAATAATGAAAGTAAATTGCATTTGAATTATGGGGCTATGCACATTTGTATATTAACTAAGTTTAATTTTATATCATTTATGGTCAAACTGCATTTTCATATAGTTAGGTTACATAGCAAGGAATTTGGTTTATTGTCACTCAGATGGTCTGTGACATATTTGGGTCTTAAAAATACTTTCGTTTTTCTAAATTTGAGATGTGAACAGTACGTTTTTATTTGGTCCAGTGGGTCAGTATGTTGTCAACACAGATCTTTCTTCATGGTCATTTGGTTTCAGATACTATGCCATTCAGAATGAGAAAGATTTCAAAAACATTTCTCTATTATTTTCTTATGAAAGTCTTTTCTCTCTCACTTTAAGTCTTTTGTACATATTTACTACTGATTCACAGCTGTGAGAGAATTAGATTAAAGGAGAGTTTTAAAAACTGTATATTCTAACTTTGGATACCATAGGAATAAATTAAAGAACTATTATTTACTCCCACTGTGGTTTTACATGGTCTAAAATTGCTATCATCTATATCATGTTAATACTCTGGGAGTTGTGAGTCAAATATTAATCACAGGTACATCTGTGAATATGTACACATGCTTCTAGGATTTGGAAACAGTGCAGTAAAAAGAGCACAGTTTTGGAAGTCCAAGTCCTTACTTTGTGGCAGACTGCTTCCACTAGCATGCCCTAGGAAATTCACTGAATTTTTCCAAATTTGTCTCCCCATTTGTAAAAAAAGGGAGAACTGATTTATATATATTTCGGAGTTATGAAGTCAGTTCTAGCTCTGAAATCCTATGACATTATGTTTATTATCACTGCATAAAATTAATTCAGAGAGTATCTTTTTTGGTTTTTACCTGTAGAGATATACATAAGATTTTTTTTCTATAAGATTTTTTTAAAAGAAAAAATCCATTTTCATAGTCAGACTTGACTGTTTAATATTAGTGGAAATATATGATAGCAGAATATCATGCAAGATGGCCTGTGCCATGACATAGCTGTAAATTTTTATTTATTTATTTTTGAGAGTCGGCCATGCTGAGGGTTGGGGAGGGAGAGAGAGAATCTTAAGTAGGCTCCACACCCAGCATAGAGCCAAATGCAGGGCTCAATCCCATGACCCTAAGATCATCACCTGAGCCAAAATCAAGAGTTGGATGGACCTTAACCAACTGAGCCACCAAGGAGTCCCTAAAATGTGTCATTTTGAAAGTATACTGTTTGGTTTGAATTTGGCAATGACCCATTTTTTATGGTTGATCTTGAAAATAAAAGATCACTAACCTAACTTTTTTGAAAAAATATAAAGAGGAATATATGAAATAATTTATAATCAATAAAGTACTACAAAATTTTTGTATTATTAATTATATGGTTATTACCTATAATTACTATTTAATAAGTATCTTCTAATTTGCCAGCCATTAACTAAGAGCTTTACATTTAATCCTCTCAACCACTCCTCTTTGAACTGGTTTTATTATTTCCATTTTACAAATGATTAAACTGAGTTTAGAAAGGTTAAGTAGCTTACTATTAAGAAGTAGTGAGTGGCCTAGTCAAGATTTGATACTAGACTGATTCTACTCCAAAGCTCACGTTCTACTGCCTTATCTTTGAATTAATGTGAAAGAATTACATTGTTATGGCAAATGCAATGCTAATGAATATTATTAGCATTGATAATAATGATAAGAGTCAGGTACAGTCTAAATTTTAAAGTTAGTACACATATCAAGAATTCACTATTTACAATAGAAATTTTTTGGAAACACCTTTTAAAAGGTAAATATAATAAACACCATATCTGTTAGGGAGGTACAGGTATGATATGGTGAAATAAGCAATATTATACAATGAAAAGTGTTTGCTACTCGAATTGAAGTATTGAATAATCTCCATTATTTCAGAAATGATTCTGAGATGCTACTACCTGTGTTATGGAAATTTTCATGCTAAGAATCTTCTCAAATGATACACTTTCATCTGCTACAGCCTACTTAGATATCCCATTAATGTAACTGTTGTCATATTTTAACAGCAAAAGACCCAAAACTATATCCATAGATGAAAATATGGAACCAAGTCCTACAGGAGACTTCTACCCATCTCCGAATTCACCAGCTGCTGGCAGTCGAACATGGCATGAAAGAGATCAAGGTAAGCCATAAGGTGATTCCTCTGGGGACAAGTAGGATATCAGTTTATTAGGTTTCATTTAGCCAGAATTTCATAATTGAGTCAATATGGATTATATCATCTTCATAAAATGATTGCAGTAAAATTATTTTTAAGATAATGTACTAGTTACATGTCACCAAAGTTGTAAAAATCCCCTATTTTCCATGTTGGACTTTTTCCCTCAGACAGAATGAATGATCTTTTAGAATCCCCAATTATATGTGTGACTGGTTTTGATTTGTCTGCATTTGTTGGTTGGATTGAGCAAAACCCCAAATTCTGATCCAGTTAGATCATTTGCTACTCTGTATCGGCTATTTCAGGGAGGAGCCACACTTCCAGAAGGTTTCAGGTGCCTGTTACTGAACATACCCATTTAAAGGAAGTCATAATTCCTTTTGGAAATAGGTACAGCATAAACAGTAAATATAACTGTAATGTAAGAAACTTTGTGTATGAGTCAATCTAGTTGTTCCTTCTGGAGGAGACTATAACCCAGTTGTGGGGCAGCTTTGGGGGAAAATATGACTTCGTAGGTATTATTTGGCTAAATTCAGACTTAGCCCTTTTTCTTTTTTAAAGTTTATTGGGTTAAATCTATTTCACCATATATCCTCATGCCTTTTTGCCACAATTGGCAGAAGACTGTTAAGCATGGAAACTAAAAAAAAAAAAAAAAAAAAAAAAATGAACTAACTGCAATGTCTAATTGGTATGTTTGTGTGCATATGTGATTTATATCAGCAGCATATAAAATAATTGAAAATCTTATTTATTTATTTATTTATTTTTGAAAATCATATTTAAATCAAATTTTACATTTAACTAAAATGTAAAAGAAAAATCTCTTTATCAATGGTTTTTAGCCTGTGATTTGAGTTTATGTATCTGAGGCTGGGGAGCTGTATACTAGATTATCTCAGGAGGCAAATAAGTCTGAAGCATAGAAGTTAAAGCCAAAATCAGTTCCTTATTCAGGACTTATTTGCGGCTCCATAGTTTTATGCAGAGTGCCATAGGATTTAAAGAATAGTGAAGGGGGCACCTGGGTTGTTCAGTCAGTTAAGCAGCTGACTCTTGATCTCAGCTCAGGTCTTGATCTCAGGGTTGTGAGTTGAAGCCCTGTGTTGGGCTCCATGCTACATGTGGTGCCTACTTAAAGAAACTATTCCACTGGAAAAAAATATAGTGAAAAATCTTCATGGAGGAATTGGACTTTGAGTCAGGTGGGTCTCCTTTAGCATGTTGAGATTTTTAACTGGTAAAGAAGGGAGCAGATTTGCCAGAGAGAAAAACCATGGCCAAACGCTGTGTAAGAGGAAGTTTCAGAATGGCCATATCGTACTGTGCGGCTGGACACTGTACGTATAAGGAAGTAAAGAGAGGTCATGGGTCATGTTACAGAAGGATCTGAAAATCAGCTGGAGAGTTTTGGCTCTGAGATGACCTCCCCTTGCCCCTTCCAAGTCTTCTTCAGATAGTAGACAAAATTTGTAAAACATCAGACCATTATATTACTCCCCTACTTAAATCTCTCAGTAACTTGCCACTCCTCTTAGGAGAAAAAATCAGAATCCCCTCATATGTTCCTTGCTATTGCTTCTTGCACCTTAGCTTACTCCTTTGTTAATATTTGGGAAGGCAAAATCCAAGACCTTCCTCTAAGCCATGCCCTCTAGAATTCTCTTCTTCTGACTCGTCATCTCACAAATTTGGGGCATCTTTCAAATCCCAGCCTAAATTGAGGAATTTCAATCTAAGTTTGGTCTTCTATTTTCTTTCCTGACACCTAGCATTGTTCCTTCATGGTTCTCTTAGTAGATAGTTACATACTTGTTTGTGAGATTCATTGTCTAAATCTGTCTGTACTGTGAGGCCAGGGACCTTATCTTTTTTGGCTGTTATGTAACCAGCACCTGGGTGCATAGTAGGGGCACAAAAGATATTTGTTGGACAAATGAAACATTGATAGGCAGAACATCAGTCTCATTAGTGAAGGCAAGAAATAATAGGCAGGAACTTTCACCAGACTTGCAGAAGTAAGAATAAAAACAAAACTCTCAACCCTTTATATTTTATTGCTTGTTTAACTGGCATTGTCAGTTTGCTTTAAACAAAGCCATATTTGCTCTTCAGAAAATTATTCTGGAAGAGATTCTAATGGTAATAATAATAACATTGTGAATGTGTGGGAATGGGTGTGTTGTTCAGAAGTGTAGGTGTTCTTTATTATAGAGAGTGTCACTTTGTAAGAATTGATTCCTCTTCCAGCCTATTGAATAAAGCCAATCTCAAATCATATTATAAAACATTTTTGAAAAGTAGAAGGGAAACTGTCATTCTTTCGCTTTGTTAAATCATTGTATTGTCTTGGTGATTTTCTTTTGTCAAGATGACTAGAATTACTAGAGAAGTCTGTAAGGGCATATTTTATTAAGCATAAGGAAGAATGATCTGTTCTCAAGTATGCTTAAAAAAAACTCTGTCACTTTAATTCTGAAGACCCTGAAGACTTTGTAATATGCACAATAAGCCATTGTGGGAAGAAGTCTTGAACTACAATAAAAAAAATGAGGACAGTACAGTACTATCTTTATAAATTTGCTAAGCCAGATGCAGTCCTTTTGTTCTTAAAAAATTGCTTTTTTAAAATTTAAAAAAAAATAAAATGCCCCATGGTTGTTCTTGTCCATCTTTAAATGTTCTCCAGACACACTTCCCTGTCCTGAAGATGCTATTCTAAGGGACATATTGAGTACCACTTGATATTTGTAATGGCTTTAGTACATGTCTTATGCTTGTTTCTCCCACAAAGCCCTGCACTAATTGGTAATCAATAACTACTTATTGGTTGATTAAAGTATGCTTGTGTTTATAATTGGCAGAAATGTTTGAAATTTACCATTAATTATTTCCTGGGTATGCTGTTAGTGTTAACTTTGCATTAAAATCTGCTCTTGCCATAGCCCTTAGCAATATTGATTTTTGAAATAGAAGAATCAAAGAGAACAAAATTATGGACAATATGTGACATTCTACTTTCCCTTATAATCTGAAACACCAATCTAAATCATTGAGAGTTTTTCCAAGTATGCCAAAAAAAAAAAAAAAAGAATGTAAGATAGCCAAATTAGTGTACTCACATTATTTTAAAAAGACATTAGGCAAATTTTTAATGTAAAATCTAGGTTCATATAGTGACAAATATTTATGTACCTTTTAATAATTTAATGGAAAAAGTATTTTTATTTTAGGGTAAAATAAACATAAACATAATTAGTTATATTTATATGTTTGAAGGTTTGATTTTTTTTTCACAACACAGAAAAGTTACAATGTCCCACTCATAAAAGAATTACAATTTTTAATTCTGCAGAATAGAAACATGAACATTTTAAGACTGAGCATTATGTAATAGCATTAAACATTTGGTATGAATCTATATAATTTGCCTACATTTCTCTTGATGTATAGAGAAGGAAATCAAATTTACCAGCATCTACATTATGTAATATTCATATTCATATTTTTATTTGTGTTGTTTTACACATCAAAAATGGAAGAAAACTGGCCACTAACAAAGGGCTACACAGCCACTATTATATTCCTTTCCTAGATTCTAGAATATTTTTTCCTCCTTAATCTTTTCTAGGAATTTCCCAGTTGTGACTTTTTCTACTTCTATTGAAAACTTGGATTTTTTTGGATAAATCCATAATTTTCAATTTTAATGGTTACATTAATAGAACTAGATGAGGGACGCCTGGGTGGTTCAGAAGTTGAGGTCTGCCTTTGGCTCAGGTCGTATCTGGGTCCCCATGGGAGCCTGCTTCTCCCTTTGCCTATGTCTCTGCCTCTCTGTGTCTCTCATGAGTGAATAAATAAAATCTTTTAAAAACTTTTAAAAATAGAACCCGATGAGCTTATTAATGTGCATGCTAACAACTGCCTTTATTCCAGTACCACAGAAAAAATGCCATCTGAGATCTTGTGTACCTTAAGTGACCTGAGGCAATTCAGAAACTCAATTCCCAGTTGATGTACTTTTCTTGAAATCGTTAGATTGCTTCTTTGTAACTTCTGAAAAAACAGGAAAAAGAAGCGATAGGTCTTGTTTTTTTCTTCTAATTCCAGTTACTTTTGTGGGACTAAATTTTGTATGTTAATGCCTAGGAATTTAACAGACTGACAAATGGTGTGCTTGGACCTTCAAAACAATGTTTTATCAATATCACTCTGCCACTGCCATTCTAATACTGCTGATTCATCTAGGCCTGCATCTAAGGCTCCTGAAACACTATTTAACAGACATTTATTATAAAGTAAATATATTTATAATATACAGCTGGGCTTTCTAAATGGAAAATTTAACAGCTTCTCAGTCTGATGAGTATTTAAGCAACTTATAATCTTAGTTTTATAAAATGTAAATTCAAAAAGATTTTGTATGCAGTAAAATTTTATTAATTACTACACATTTTGGATTTGAGATAATTGGATTCAGTTAAAATTTATCAAATGCCTATTATTTGCCAGGAAGTTTTCTAGGTATTGGGCACATAAATATGAATAAATTAAATTTCCAGCCCCTGACCTGCTGAGCAGAAAAAGAATTTTTTACTATTTATGAAGAAAGGTTATTCACAGAGAATAAATCATGTAAACCGGACTAGGAGGGGACTCTCTCCGTGCCTAAGAACTAGCTTACTTTTAAGCAGTATGAGAAGTAAATCTTTTTGCAAAAATCAATGCATTGGTACTTGAGTACAAACTAGCACTACTTAGTGGTATATTGGTATGTAATTACAATTTTAAGGGTAGTTTAAAAATGCATACTGGACTCTCAAATAGGCAATATTTAGGCATCATGTTCTGGTTGCTATGAGTACTAGGAAATAACACTAATTTTTTTAAAAAAATTTACAGTTCTGTCACATAAATGAGTCTCTTGAGTTAAGTCTTTTGAAATTTTAATAGAT